CTTCCACGCGCGAAAACGCGACAAAGCAGTCTTTGACATTATCTGTCTGTGCTCGGATGCTGAGGGTCAGAGAAGTCCAATTGGCGCGTGAATTCTTGTTGTGTCTTGGTTATTTGCTGCGACCGCGGAGATCTCTACCCACTCGAAGCAGGAGATTCGTTTGCATGCCCAAGGTTACCTCCACTCCACTTTCGATATCAAGGATAAATTATGTGAGGAGGAGATTGTGCCGCCGCTTGGTGAAGAGCAGCCGTGTTGAAGGCCCTGCTGAGGTTGATGCAATGACACCCGTAACGACCGACTTCTCTAGTGAGTCCTCTCTAGCACAGGCAGTCCTAGCAGCAAGCGCGGCTCCATTTCATTTGCCAAAGTGATTCTTCCCAATCCTCCTCCTGGCATGCTCTATTGGCAACACAGAGTTCTTCACTTGACGTACGAACACTATAGCAGCAAAGTGTTCATTTGCGGCAGAAGCATCAGGCCACACCATTGCAAACTTGATGGCCAACCTTCAGCTGCGAACTCCAGGTGCGTCACGTGTGCAAAGATTGCTGATGGAGAGACTTAGTCTGCGGCCGAAAGAATGTTTGCATGTCAATTATGCTGACCTGTGCTGCTACTTTCAGTGTCTTTCGTCATCTGGTTTTCTTGTGATTGCGATGCCGCAGTACCAATTGAGATTTTGCGACTTGAGCTGCATAGTTGGGGCTGCCGGCTATGGTCGTTACCTGTCACGATGATTACCATGCTATACGTGTGTGTCATGCTCCTCATCACGAGCTGTGCTGTTTGTATTTTTGTCAGGTTAGCTCGGAATGTGTGACATGTCACTTGATGATCATTACCAGTGAGAGAGACGCACCCTTTTTGTAAATTTTTCACTTGAGACAGGGCTCGAGCTTGCGCAGAGGGCATTGAAATCATGTCCACTATCATCGAGAGCGAAGCTGCTTTCGACAAAAGGTGTCTTGAATTAAAGAGCGATGGTTCACTCCTTGCGGGAATGGCAGGACAGGGCTTGAAGAGTTACCGGTCCCTTGCGCTCGTTTTGGGAACTCCTCAGACACCCCCCACTGAGGCTGCGTATGAGGGCCTTGCTACAAAGGTCTATGCGACTTCTACTCCCAGCCTTGGGGACTTAGCGAGCATTCGCCAACTGCACTTTGAAGCAACCACTCTTGTCGTCCAAACCTACAAGGAGTTGGTAAGCCAGGAGTCTGCAAAGATTGGCTGGCGTTTCCATTGAAGGAGAGCTGGACCCATCCTTTCAGCTCATTGACAGCTGCAATCACCAAATGGAGACTTCGACCATCTTCTGGCTGGCGCCTTCGAAGTGTGCTAAGCGTGAGACTGAGGTCATCGCCGGATTTCGTGATAAGCCAACCACTCTCCAAGTCGAGCAGAATGCGATCAAGCTACGCCACAGTCCTCAACCTCTTGAGTGCGACACCTCTGACAGTCTCAAATGCCAGTGGGCCTGGATGCGCAGAGGTCTGGCATACGATCAGTGTAACAAGATCTCTTATGGCACTCACCAACAATGGGTTCAGAGGTTGTTGGACTCTTTCTCTACTGCTCCGCCGCCGGGGTACAATCCTATCAGTCTTACACAGTGCATTCGTGCTGATAAAGAGCTTTTCCTTTCGATGTCTCAGGAGAATCTCAGCAGCTTCAAGCCAGGTTCCTCAGGTGGGCTCCCGCTTGATGCCCTCATGGGAAGGCTCATGTACGATGTTAGGATTGGCCAGTTCCTGTTGCCACTGCCGAAGGGGACTAGTGCTGCCTCTGCATCGTCTGGCGGGGGAGGCGAGAGTCGTGCCCCAAATCTAAAAAGGGGCAGCAAGACTCAGGCTCCATTGGGAAAGGCAAAGGCTAAGGCAAAAGCTCGCGGTGATCCTAAGGGCGCCAGCCAGCCAGCCAGTCTTGCGTCCTTTGACACTAGATCAAAGCATGGGAACTTGTGCTGGGGGTTCAACCTTGAGGATGGATGCGAGAATAAGGTGGAGAAAGACCCAAAGTCTGGGTTTATGCGTTGCATCAAGGGATTTCACTTGTGTGCAAATTGCCATAAGCCGGGGCACTCAGTTGTCAGTTGCCGGGCCTTGAAGGAGTGACTAGGGCCAGGGTGCCCTGAGTCATCTGTTGCTGCAAGCGATATTAGCAAGGTGGGAGTTGCTGCTCCCCAATCCAGTTTCACTCAGTGCAAGCGTGTTGCATCTCTAGATGCTGTTGACGTGCCAGAGGAGTCACAACATGTGGTTGTGCTCAGTGCTAATGCTCAGGGTGTTGCAGACGCCTCTCTGAAGGCTGGTTCATCACAACAGGTGGTGGCCAGCTCCTCTTGCCCTGTTGGGTTGCCACATGAGGTTGCGCCCAATGTTCACCAGGTGCCTGGAGCACCTTCCAGTTGCCGGGCCCAAGTGGGGTCTCAGCAATCCTTGCCTTCGCTGCCTCAACAAGAGGTTGGGCAATTTAGTGTGTGTCCGCGTCATGCGAACTCCGCAGTGTCAGGGGGATCGCCTTGCAATCTTGGTTCTCCTCTGGACCTTGCGTGCTCAGCAGTCTCCTCTCAAGGAGGAGCTGCAGAGATTTGCTCCCCACAGCCTCTAAAGTACCACAAGCCTTCTCCTTCACCTCCATCCGCTCAGGAGCTCAATCCTGAGGACTTCGCGCAGCAGCTTCTTGCAAAACGTGACTTTTCTGCTGTCTGCGCTCAGGCTGGTGGATCTTCTTGCCAGGGACTCAGGTCTGAGACGAGTTCAGGGACATGGTGGCTCGCGCCTAGGGCTTGGTGCTTATTGGGGTATGGGCAAACTTGCCATTTTCAAAAGCACGTACGCGTTTCCTCAGTCGTGCAAGTATTTGTGCGCTTTGGTGCACCACGTTGCACCAAAACACGTCTTTGGTGCCATTGATATCCTGGATGATGTTCTCTCCGAAGTCCACCAGGACTTGACCAACCAGAAAGGTTCTTGCAGCTTAGTTGTTCCTCTAACTCACTTTGCTCAGGGTCAGCTCTGGATAGAAGATGAGACCGGAAATCACATCCTCACCTCTGGCAGGTGTGGGCGTTTACACAACTTCGAGGATGGCCCTTGTGTCTTTGACCCGCGTAAGAAACATGCTGTTTTACCGTGGCACGGAAGAAGGGTCACTCTTGCTGCCTACATGCCCAGGGGTGTCCTTGAAGCGCCTGCTGACATGCGTTCAGACTTGTCCATTTCGGGTTTTATCTTTAGGGTTTTCCCTAGCCCCAATTTGGTTTGCCCCCTTAAGGACCTTCGCCTGCCCGTGATTCCCTCTGCCTCGGAAGGGCCAATGGCGCCAGAGCCAGAAGGAGTTCTGGAGGTTGGCAAAACCGAGCTGTTCAGCTCCTTTCGAAACTTAAGGCCCGAAGACTTGTTAGTCATCGAATTGTGCGCAGGTACTGCGATCTTGTCAGCAACCGCAGCTCGCAAAGGTTTCCGCGTCATGGCTGTTGATAATAACTCCAGGAGAGCCCCAGCAAAGCACATATTGCGCATTGATTTGGCTGATCATGATGCAGTGTCTGAGTTGCTTGAAATAATCAGCATGGAGAGGGATCGCCTAGTTCTCCTTTTCATCTCCCCTCCTTGTGGAACTGCCAGCCTAGCTCGCGAACGCAAGCTTCTCAAGTGGGCTCGTAAAGGGTTCAAAATCCAGGCTCCCCTTCGAAGCCGTTCTTTCCCTGACATGCTGCCAGGCCTCAAGGGCTGGGACAAGGTGAAGGTTGAACTAGCGAACCAGTTATACCAACAGGTTACTCGTGTCGCTGTCTTTGCCATTTCTCTAGGAATCTTGGTGATGATTGAGAACCCTGCCTCAAGCCTGTATTGGTTGACCTCCTTTTTCCTGGAGCTGGCTCACTTTTGTCCTGGGCACAATGTTGATTTCCATTCTTGCTGTCATGGTGGACAACGACCAAAATTGACGCGATTTTGGGTTTCTCAGGATCAATTCTCGCAGTTGTCCATGTTTTGCGACAATACACACTGGCATAAACCCTGGACGCCACGCAAAGTCGGCAATCGCCTACACTTTGTCACTGCTGATGAAGCTGCTTATCCGCTTCTTTTGTGCCAACGCCTCATAGATGCATTGCTTGAGCTTTGTTTCCCTGATGCTGATTTGCATGCAGCGCAGACCTCCATCCCATTCCATGACAAGAGCACCCGTGTCGCCTTAGGGATTACAGCCTCGCGGTCATGTCATGGGCCCTCTTCTTTCTGAGTTTTCGCATCAGGTTGCATACGTTACTGAAGCCAGCAAGCAGGCCTCCTCAGAAATTTTCCTTCCAAACCTCCCAAAAGGCTCAAAAGTTGTGCGACGGCGACTTTTTGAAGGGGGTGTTATCCTGCCGTCTCTTGAGGGCACTTCGGAAGTACATTTTCATGACATGCCTGATCTTACATCGTGTGATGCCAGCGTCTATGACCAATGGAAGAAAACTCAGATAGAGGTCTTCTTCATTGGGATCCCTTGCAGCCCTGAGGTCTTCATTGAACGTGCGTTTCAGGTTGGCCACCCTAGGGGATTTGAAGTGCACATGGAGCCTGCTGTTCATGAAGCTATCAATGCTAACTTTTGCAGAGACCCGTACCCACTTGCAAAATTGCGTATTGATTTTGTTAAAAAGTGGACACGAAGGGCAAAGGAAATACAGCCTGACGAAAATGCGTTGCACGACTCTATGCCACCGTATCTGAGAAAGGTCTTGAGCGGTAAGCGACTTCTCCTCCTTGGAGAAATGATGGAAGAAGCAAAGTGTCCTGACTATGATCTGGTTAAGGACATTCGCCAGGGCTTCCGGATTTCAGGATGGATGCCTTTGTCAGGCAACTCGCAGCCAAGGGTTAAGAGGCCCGCCATGACCATGGATAGCCTCTTGATCCTGTCCTCTGGGCTTAATAAGGGTGTCCTCGAAAGACTTAGGACCCGCCAGGACCATGAATTGGAGTTGGCGGCTTGGGAAGAGACCAGGAAGGAACTTGACGCAGGTTGGTCGTGGCTTTCAGACGACAAGAGCAACAAAGGCCTTTTGATTGCTTTGAGGTTCGCCTTGCGACAGAGTCCCACTAAGATTCGTTTAATCGATGATTGTACCATCAATGGTCTTAACGGCACGATAGGATTGCGCGAGCGGTTTGAGCTGCACACGATAGATAAAATGGCGGCCATGGCTGTGCGTGCACTTGGATCTGCGCCAGATGAAGGCCTTGCAGACTGGGTAGGGCGCACGTTCGATTTACGCAGTGCCTACAAGCAGTATGGAATTCATCCTTCTGACAGGCAGAGGTTTCGCATTGGTGTGAACCGTCCTGGGTCCGAGCAACCTTCTTTGTTAGGGGTTAATTCCCTGCCCTTTGGAGCAACTGGCTCTGTAAGCGCCTTTCTTAGGGTTGCCATGGCTGTTTGGAGGATAGGCCTTGTTCTGCTGAGTTTGGTTTGGTCATCATTTTTCGATGACTTTTCCAACATTACTAGGGCCGTCCTTGCCAATAACACGAGATGGGCCATAGAAACCCTGTTTGACCTTCTTGGCATTAACTTTGATCGGGATGGTAAGAAGGCTCCCCCTTATTCGACCGTGTTCAACATGCTTGGCTTGCAAGTCGACATGTCGCATAGTACTTCCCGGAAGATTTTCATTGGCCACACTTCCACCAGGCGTGAAGAATTGTCAACCTTCTTGCAGGGCATCTTGGATGCTGGGAAAATTGAACCTCGGGTTTTTGAACGCCTTAGGGGTCGTATGGTTTTCTCTGAAGGTTATTCTTTTGGCCGGGTACCTTAATGTGCCGTGAGGACACTAGCTTCTGCGTGCAAGGTTGCGACCTCACCCGTTGTACTGAATCAGGAGCTCCGCAGTGCTGTGACGTCTCTTGTGCAACATGTTTCCTCTGCAGAGCCTTTGTGCATCCAGCCTCTTTCGCAAGATACTTGGATCTTGTACACCGATGGGGCCTGCGAGCCAGAGAAATGCTGGGGGGGGATACGGGCTGTTCTTTTTGGACCTAACAGGTGCGTGGCCGGATTCTTTGGTGAATCGGTTGATGCACGGGTCATGAAGAAGCTCTTTAGCCACTCCAAAAACCCGATTTTCGAATTGGAGATTGCGCCTATTTTGATTTCGCTTGAACTGTGGAAGGCCCTCTTGCATGGCGCACAGCTGATCTGTTTCTTGGATAATGATGGTGCCAGACATGCGTGCATTCGTTGTTACGCTCACTTGGAGCCTGCGAACTCATGGGTTAAGGCGATTGTCGAATCGGAAGCTGCACTTTGTTTGAAGTCCTGGTATGCACGCGTTGGCACGTCTTCTAATATAGCGGATGGGCCAAGCCGACTGGACTTTTCTGCTTCTTGTTTGGACGGGGTTGCTCGATCGAAGCCATGCCTAGACTCCCTCTTTAAAGGATGGGGGTAATTGCAGGGACATTGCCAAAAAGAAGGCCCCTCTCTGATTCGATTTAATCTTATCAATGAGATTCGTTTATACAATGTATTGTGTGACGAATATGTTTGAATTGATTGGAATAATGCAACCAAAGAATGAGACTAAGTCTCATCGAATATTACGTCAAGCTTGGGAGGAATATGTGATTACTCCCCGTGGGATGCACACCTTATTCCCACACATGCTTGAATTTCAAATTTTTGAAATTAGGAATATTCTGGTTGCAATCATATTCCGAAATTGTTTTGAAAAAAAATTCCATGCGTTCAGTGGATGAGTTTTTGAACTTCCTTGCCGCTGATGCGTGTATGCAGTGGTTCAGTTGGAGTGGAAAATTTTGGACCCACCCAACCCACCCTGTTTTGTTGCCTAACCCTGATTCGCTGAGGCATGCCGCATTGCCAAAAAGAAGGCCGCTCTCTGATTCGATTTAATCTTATCAATGAGATTCGTTTATACAATGTATTGTGTGACGAATATGTTTGAATTGATTGGAATAATGCAACCAAAGAATGAGACTAAGTCTCATCGAATATTACGTCAAGCTTGGGAGGAATAAGCGGGCAATATTTGTGGTTTCCCGAACATCAAAATCCGGTGTAGTTGCTGCATGTGCACTCCGCTCGACAAGGACTTGGTATGAAGTTTGTAACAGCTAAAAGGGTTGTTGCGTACTTCAATGATTTCAGAGCATGACATGCGTGCGCGAATATAATGCGTCCACGTTGATTGCGTTTGCTATTCCATTTGCCATGATTCGGATGTTTGCAGATCAAGTGTTGGCAATGCGCAAATGTTCGACGTGTTCGTGTATGTCAAGAGCCACATGTTGCCGATATCGTTCATAAAAACAAATTGTTTTCTCACGGAACAACCATCTTTCGTCCGGCGTGGTAGTTTCGTGCAATACATGCATTAATATTTTTGTTCGGTCATTGCGGGCATCTCGTTTCTAGTTTTGCTGCAAATCCAGCCTTGAATTGAATGATGCCGCGCCAACGTGTAGCTCTCGGTCTCCTATCCATGAAATCACGGATTTCCATTTTGTGGCCAATTGACCGAATCAGGACAGTCACAAGCCATGTGGCAACAGTACATGTTACCGTGTATCTCAGCACGCTATGCCAATTTGTTTCCTAGCAAAAGGGTTGAGAGTGTGTTGCGTGTTGCAAGTAAATTTGGGCTGCTTTTGTTGGAGATTCCAATGGCAGATGGTGGCGACCAGATTTTCAGCTGCAAAATATGTTTTTTGGAGTTGTTTCAAAATTCCACGGAATCACGCGAGATAATGTGCATGCCATGGCAGGGCGAGTGGAGAAGCTGAAGGACAAGCCCCACCGGAAGAAAAAAGCTCCGCCCGTGTTTGTGCCGAGGTTGGTCATTTGGGTGGGATCCATGGTAGGCTTTGCAGTTAACAGCACATCAGATTCATCATTGCAGTATCTTTGTGCAGACATCTCTGGATGCCATAGCCGTGGTTGGGCGTGGCATGATGGCCACAGGTTCTGATCCTTGGCTCAGAAATGCATTGTTTGTTCCCAGATGTTGCGTGTCAAGATCAACATTCATCATTAATCCGCAATTGTGAGGCTGTTCTTACAGCTGTGCAGTACACAGCCTATCCCATCAAAGAGGTGCCTGTAGCCGCCGTATCAAAAGTGATGCTCACTGAAACTGATGCAAGGGCGTGATTTGCGTGATGGACACTACGAGTGAGTACTTCTCGCCTTACCTGAAAAAGTTGAAGCCTCAGCTCGTGAGCACCTTGGCACGGGAGCCTTTTTGTGTTGTGCAGGCAAGCGGCCAACCACGTACCAACTTTTCGGTACGGATGACATTGCAGGAAGCGTCTGTCATCATGTGCCAGCACGCGCCACTACGTCCATTCTTCGCGTTCCATGTGTTAGCCATGGTTGTCTTGCTCACACTGGCGAAGCCTCAGTCGAGCAGCGTGGTTCACATGTCGCTCCAAGCGGTCTCACCAGTGCACGGGTTGAAGGATGCCAAGAAGACTTCAAAAGGATGATTTTGAAGCCAAGAGCTGATTGCGCTTGATTTTCATGACGCCTCCGGCTACAGCCTGTCAACAACTCGCCACCTACAGAGGTCGCAAATCCACACACCTATCAAAGTAATGTGCGTTGTTTCTCAGCATGGACGTGAACAGCATTGCAACCACTGTAGCTGCACCAACAGCAGCAAGAGGTTTGGAACATGGCTGTTGCATCTGCAAGCTGTATATCCATGATACATCGCACTACTGTACTGAAGAATGACCACACTGGTTCAGCTATTGGCTTAGCAAACATTACCTTAATTGAAGGATTGAAGCCGTATGTCTGTTGGGTTCATACTTTCAAAGGCTTAGTTTCAGGTGAGTCTTGCACTGGATGTGTTCTGGTGCTTTCATGGTGGTCTCAAAACAAAGTCCTCAGAAGGGCAAGGCTGGTGTTTTCTTGACCTTAAGTGTGTCTTTACATGTACGTGTGTACGCACGTACGTACGTACCTATGTATGTATGTATGTATGCATGCATGCATGCACGCATGCATGCATGCATGGATGTATGTATGTATGTATGCATGCATGCATGCATGGATGGATGGATGGATGGATGTATGGATGCATACATTCGTGTATGCATGCATGCATGCATGCATGCATGCATGCATGCATGCATGGGCCGATGGATGGATGCCATGGAGTGGAACTGAACTGTTCGGAACGGAATGATGGATGGATAGATGGATGGATGGACGGATGGATGGATGGATGGATGGATGGATGGATGAGAAAAAACGGAGGTGGAAGTGCGTCGATCTGCTCGTCTTCGCCAAGTGCCTTCAAGGCGGGAACGGACTTGCTGCGAACCATTTGCTGAGAGCGTCATACGCCATGGCAGAATCAAGTTGTGCGGCATGCGGCATGCCACAGAAAAAGTCTCAATCATGAAATTGAAGCTAGCTCAGTCATGCGTGCTGCCACACAGTACAAGCCACACAAGACTTAGTTGTCGAGCCCTTCAGCAGCAAGCATGCTTGGCAGTTCCAGATCGTGCCCACACGAGATTAGGATGCTGCCCAGACCACATGGCCCCGTGGCCTCCTGATGAAGCCAGTGAACGATCACAGAGGCAGTGGTGCAAGAAGTGGTTGCCAAGCTGAATTTGCAAAGCTTGTCTGTATCCACGCGAGCTGACCAAGGCAGACTTGGCGAGAATGTTTGGCGGCTTTTGCTGCATCTGTGAGGATGCAAAGAGCACAAAGGCTGGAAAGCAGCAAATGCAGGTCAGCTTGGATGCAAGAATCAAAGATGTGAAAGGCGACGTCTGCCACTTCTGCCAAAGGCCGCCGCAGCTCACAGAAGATCCCCAATGCGGCAACTTGGAAGTTACTCTTGCACCATCTCACATCTGGATTGTGGCATCGTGGCAGACGGCACAAGGACCTGAAGAGCGCCGCAAGTCCTACGATGCCTCCTGCATCGCCAGCAGATCCTACGCCTTCGACTACGGCGCAAAGTGACGTACTGGACAAGGTCATGTGCATGGGTCCTGCAGCAGCCATCGTCCACTAACCTTTTGCAGGATCCGGACGCAGGCTATGCTGCACAAGCAGAGATTGTTGGAGAACACCCTGTGGATGGTGTTGTCTCCGTTGAGGTTGAGGAGGATAGAGACCAAATTGGGATGCGGTGTCTTGCAAGTGAATGCTTGAAGGAGCCAAGTCAGAAGCGGACACGCCGAAGAAGCCATTTCGTGCCAGCTGGTGCCATCTCACCAGAGGCTCAACTTACTGGCAGCGAGCAGTATGAGCTTACTGGCGCCAACCTTTCTTAGGGGCCAAATACTTGAAGCAGTCTGCATTGTAAGCGGGCCGCTGCAGTTCAAAAGTATCGATGTGTGTGTGCTGAAATCAATCTGGACGCAGGACGTCTCCCAACCAGCTGTTGCCGCTGGCATGGGGGAACTGCAATTCCTCGTGGAAGATCCCTCGAAGGTTTTTCAAGGCGGGGTTCTGCCTGTGCGGCTCTAGCTGGATTTTTGCTCCCAATTCAGATGTTGCAGGGCTGGCCCTTGATGCTTGCATGCTCGGCATTACAAAGGCTCACAAATCTCACAGGAAGAGAGATGGAGAGCGTATGAGATGTCCATCATGTTGTATGTCACTGCATGCATGTACGCAGCAAGGCCGGTGGACTTGATGCCGTTGTTGAAGCAGAGTTCAAGGAGAAAGCAATCAAGCATAGCAGTCACGGCAAACATTACCACGTGTCACAGAGTGGGAAGGAGAAACTACTTGAACAAGTCGGTTGCACAAGTGAAGCTGCGGCAAGGTTGGCATAGCGGCTATGAATATGATTTGGGACTTGGAAACGAGGCAAGCTTGCCAACATCAACAAAAGCCCAAGCTGATCAGCAGGTCTCGGTTCTTGAAGGCCGGCGTGGCGGTGAGCTGCGCGAAGGCCTGAAGCAGTGTGCTTCATGTGGGCTATGATAGTGCCAAAAAGTAGTGTTCGTCCCTTGTTTCCAGGGCCGCAAGCCAGGAACCCCGAACCAGGACTGCATTTTTCTCGCTACTTTTTGCTGGTGCCTGAGCGCTAAAGGTGGACCTTGCAGGACAACTTCTTTGTTGCCGAGTTTGGACACTTCCTGGTGTGTTGTGTGGCAGATGGACATGGCCGCATGTCTGGTAGCTTTTTCTTGGACAATCGCTCCGCATGTCACCAGAACTAAGGCATCGGTGGTCATTGGGCATCTCACTGGACTTGCAAGTTCGTTCTCAGGATTCTGTGCCTAGGGTTGTCTGTCTAGGTTTGCAGAGAGCTGTTCAGCAGTTGAACTTCGTGATTGCATGAGAAAGATCACCAGAGGATGCTGCTGGAACACACGGCGACGACAAAAGCATTACCGGCAGAGGCGGTGATGCACAAGCCGCTGGGCTGTGGCTTGAGATGCTCGGTGACCACTCTGGCGTACAAGTGCCTTAAGCATTCAGGATTTTCGACACGGCGCATCAGGACAGTCTGCCGTTTGCTGGAGTGCGGGCTTTTGATTTGGTTGATGTGCGCGCTTCATGTCATTTGGTGTGACTTCAGGAGCTTGTCTGCACATCCACATCAAAGGAGTTCGAGCTTTCGTCAGATGCTTGGAAGAGTCCGAGCTTTTGCTTGATCTCACGTGAGCCGATCTCAGGCTGAGTGGGACAACACTTTCTGCGGCGGGCTCAGTGATTGCTGAAGTTATGGCGCTAGTTTGTGGGGACTTGAGTTTGCCTTCTGCAGTCTCTCTTGCCCAGCTTGCTCAATGGAAGGTGGCCGTGGTGGACCGAAACAAGAAACAGCTTCTGTTAGCCTGGGTCGGAGTCCAAGGAATATTGGTCTTCAACAGAGGCAGGGCTTCAGACGGGAAACCACTCCTAAGGCAGGAGACTCAAGGTGTGTCCTTGGTCGGCCTGCTGATCGATCTAAAGAGCCTTAGTTCAAAGATTTCTTTGACTCACTATGATGGTTTCTCAAATTTGGACTGAGTTCCATGGTGCTCAGGGAAAGCCCTCCTGTGCAGCTTGGCAGATTTCAGATGTGGCAGCGAGACGATGACTTATATTTACATGATTTAGCTTGGGGCGAAAACGCGAAACTTCGAACACCATGGCGTTTTTGAATTGGATTGAGGGCAGTGAACAAGAAAATCCAAAAATGCTTGAGGAATAGCATCTGGGAAAACTGCTTGTGCGAACGTTTACATATAGGATCATTTTTCGTCGATTTTGGGCGGACACATGCCGATTCTTGCGAACATCTACATTTTTTTCGAAAATCTGTCGGTTTTTGCGAACATCTGCCAATTTTTGGCCAGAATCTGCAAGGTTTCGCGAAAATCTGCATTTTTTTGACGAACATCTGGAAAAAATACGAGGACACTTGGCGGGACTTCTAGGATTTTTGGAATTTTGCAGATGCGCATAAACTAAGCTAACGACATGCAGTCAATTTGGGGATTTTAGAATTTTCTCGAAAATCTGCACATCGGCACAAAAAAGATACGCATGTAGTTGGGGTTTCAGGGCTACCTGCAACTTTGTGGGTCATAGGGAGCTGGTCAGGTGGGAGCATCAGAGGATCACAAGCCAAACGATCCAAAGGAGACATGCTGCAGCTCTGCGGCTTTGCATCAACCAGCCGTTTGACGTGCTTGGTGTATCTCATTGCATTGATGAAGTCTCAATGACGAGGAGAAAGCACGGGTCCTGGCCAGCGGGGGCGAAGTGCTGCTTCTTCCTGGTGATGCTTTTCAGCAACCCGCAAATCTTGCTGCAAAGACAGGTCATGCACAAGGATGCACCTGGATGCACGAGGGGTAGAGCCACCTTTCAAGTTGAGGATGTACCGTATCGGATCTTTGCCAAGAACAAAGAGGTGCCTGGTTTAGCGATGTCCCGGTCCATCGGGGATCTGTCTGGACATTCTGTGGGAGTGACCCACCAGTCTTGGGCTCAGCTTTGCTGTCGCTTTCGTGATGGTCCTGTGATATTGTGTGGCGGGGTAAACAGGGTTGCATCCACATCGCGTCGCGGGCTTCTTATAAACAAGCCCCTTCAGTGGCCGACACCTTGTGCGATTTCTGGCTGCCATTGTTGGTTCTCCCGTGTCGGGGAAGTGCAGGCGCACACTGGCCAGTAGGTGGGCCCGAAAATTCACAAAAAAAAAGACGTTGCCAGTGACGTAAGCAGCACAGCCATGACACATTGATGCCAGCTTGGCGAAAGTCAAGTTGTTGGGGTGTTCCCCTGGAGGCTGTGTGTCCATGAGTGCATGCTCACTAAGAAGCTTGTGGCTGATAACCAGGTATCAAATCAGCAGCAAGCCACGAGTCGCTGCGTGATATGGCCTAAAGCAGGCAATCCCCAGCAAAAAAAGAAAGTGGCTGGCATGATCCGGGTGCCCCCCATCACTGCCTGCTCCTCCTCCTCCTCAATTGTTGAGATTTCAAACTTGAATCTGAGGCACGGATGGAACCGGGGCTCGGGACGGACAGGGGAGGACATGGATTAGATGTCCCTCCGAGACCTGTCAGCTTCAGCAGACTCATCAAGTCCTCCCTTAGGTCCCTGTGAAATGTGAAGCTGATTACTTAATCTCCTGCTTGCTTTGCACGCAGTGGAATAGCGTTTGAGCAAGCCTTGTCAAGCCTTGCTAAGCCTTGCTACTCCTTGCTACCAAGAGAACCAAGCCAGCATCATAAAACTGCTGTAGAGCTGTCATTGTATGTATTTTTCTGTGTTTGGGCCACGAAAGCATGTCCTGCTGAGGCCAAGTTTAAAGTTGCTGGATTTTCAGAAGGACGACTTGTTGCTTTGCTGTTCCGATGGCGTATGGGAATTCCTGAGCGACATCGATGCTGTGAACACTGTGTTGCAGGCCGGGCATTGAGTACTGCCGGCAAATTCCGGCAAGCTTGTGAAAATGAGAAGGTTTAAGGTTTGGTGGTTCCAGGGCGTGCAGAGAGTCAAGAAGGGTCTCTTGAAACGAGATGCGTTGGAACCCGTTTATGCCCACCTGTGATGACTTGCCTGAACTTGCTTCAGACGTAGCTCTTTCAGTGGTGTGGGGCGAGAGCCCTTCGAACTTGAGCCATAGAGGGTGGCTGCCTGAAGGTTGGACGCAAAAATGCTTCGGATGCTGCCTCGTGCCTTTGGTGCAATCCGTTTCAGTGGTGTGAAAGTCTGCTTTTGTATTGCCAGTCAGCATGCCGGTCTTCAGCGTATAGCTTCTTGATTGGACAGCATTCGATGTTCTCCAAGTCGCCAGAGGGAACATCATTTTGCCGCCTGTTCTGTTGCGATGGATGCTGTGGACCGAGGAAGCTGGTGGCCGAGGCAAGAGCGCAGTGGCTGGCGGAGTCAGTGCCTGGCTTCAGAATCGCGAGTCGCTCTTTTTGCGTTGGAGTTCCTCCGAGCTGTGAATAAGGATGACTGTTGCGATGACATCACGGTCATCGCTGTGTGGCTATAGGATGCACATCAAACTATGTTGACCAGCTGCGAGTGCTTCACAGAGCCACTCAGCACCTGCGCAAGGTAGACGTTCAACGCACGGGGCTTCAAGATATTTTGATTTGGAGTCAGGAGTGCGTCAGTTTTATTATGGTTCCTGGCGGACCAACGTTTAGACTTTACCTTGATAGCCGAGATGCCAAAATGGCACGAGCATGTGGATACCTCTCCATAAGCTCAAGGTTTGAGTGTAAACGTCTTCCCCAACAACTCTACATCGAAGATGTAGAACCCGAACAGCCAGACCTGGTTGAAAAGCACTTGGTTCCACTTCTTCATGCCAGTCTGCCGGACATGAAACATGCCAAGCATCGGACAACTGGGGCAGATTGTGCTTGTTCTGAATTGTGTTCTTGGGCTGTGATGCCTGTTGACAAGGCCTGTGCAGAAGGCTGCGAGGTCCTCATGATTCTGAGCCCGATCTTTCACAGTGAAAGACCTGCATGAACTGCCTAATGATCCCTTGGGCATTTTTTGTGGTTTTGGAAGTTTGTATTCAACTTTCACGTCAGGCCAGGAAGGAGCGAAATCGTCTTGCCCTGCTTGAGACCGACTTCGCTACGGGCGAGGAGGTTGAGAAAGCTGAAGAGATTCCAGACATGAAAAAAGCTATTCTTGCGCTTCACATTTGGGAGGCTGACCCTTGGGATCCTGAAGGCAGCGACGTGGAGCTCTTCTCTTCGAGCTTCGTGCGCTCGACATTCTTCCAGCCTTCCATCTGGAAATCTTGACTCTGGGAGAGTCAGGCTCGCGGTGCCGGGAAGCGACGCAGTGGTGGAAAGGCTGACAGGTCACACCCCCCTGCGCATTTCAGTTGATTCAAGAAGGCCTGGCCATGCCTTGCAGAGCCTCTGCGCAGGCGATCTTCCAAAACAGAGGCATCGGTGTGGCAAAACTGAAGACCGGTGCTTTGAGCTCCATGGATGACGAGCCAGGTGCCGATGAGACAGCGCATACTGCGTCGGCCGAATGCAAGATATGACTTTCAGGATCTGGTCCACCGGGTTTTGGTTTAGCTGTCGTGTTTTTCCACCGCTCTGGGTGCTCGTAAACGTTGTTCTTTATGCAAGTATGCCAGGCAGAAGAACCCGCCGTGAACTTCTTCTCATGCGAGGTCCTGCATGTTCGGGTGGCCGTGGCGAGCATAAGTGCCTGATGCAGTGCTGTAGCAATCTTCAGACGCGACTTGTCCTGCTTTGGCACCGCACGGTTTTTGGCTCAGTCGTGGGCTCACCACGACAAGCTTAGCAGCTGGCAATGGCCATAGAAGAGGCAGGCTTGGGTGTCAAATCAATGAAGTCAGGTGTAGTTCTTCTATGTTTCTTTGTACCTGAGAAATCCAGTCTCTCATCTCAAGACTCGAAACCCAGTAAAGGCTGTTTATGCACTTCAGTCAAGGTGTTGTGGTGGCAGCATAAATCACCACGCGTCACTTTTTGTTGTGCTCCAAGGCCCAGAAAGTGGAGCGCCGTTCTCGGATGCTTGTGAGCAGAGATTGTTTCACAAGACATTTGACACCAACTTGCGCTGCCCAGGCCTTCTAAGAAAAAAACAAAGAAAGCCAAGCAGGTGGAAGAGAAAAAAGGCAGCACAGCTGATCCGGCTTTTCGTGTGGAAAGAAGGTAGTTGTTTCAAGCTGCTGCCAGATGACCGCCAGATTCGCTTCCGTAATTACATCCCAAGGACGCTCCAGCCTCAGAGGATCAGGGAATCAGTGCAGTGGTGCCTTCACCATACTCTTCAAGCCGGTAACTGGATGAGGCCTGAGCTGCGGGATTTTTGCATGCCAAAGCTCCTCACTCAAGAGTTGCTGTTGTCTGCTTGTTGCCACCGTCCTCAGCTTCATCGCACACTTTGTAGGATCACATCTGCCGACATCGAGGCTTTGGGCCTAAGTCCATCATCTGCTGTCAGATACCATCAGTCTGGAAAGGGGTCCCTGCTCCTTCAGGCAGAGATTGACAAAGAAATCCAGGAGGCCATCGCAGCAGCTGAGGCTTGGGAAGGGTTTTCTCAGGTCTCTTGAAACCAACACAATTTCATAGCATGGGTGCAGGATACGGAGGCAGTCCTGGCGATTGCCCCACGGAAGCCAAACTGGGCCCAGTGCCCAGATTGGGCTGTAAATCTGTGTTTTTGGATCGTTCAGCAGGGCCTTGCATGGGTCAGGACTTGAAGCGAGACGTGGAACGCAAGATGCAGACGCTGGCAGCACGGACTGACCGAGCAGTTGCCTGGCACATGACTAGACGCGATGGGTAGATGCTGAAAAGCTACGTGCTGAGCTGCTGAATTGAAGACTGGTCAGGTTGTGCAACTTATTCGGCAACGCATCAAGAAGGCAACTGCGGGTGATTTTTCCCAGTGGATTTTGTGATTTCAAGGGGTCCCGTTTGCAGGACGAAGGTCGTGAAGCCAATGACGATGACAAAAAATGAGCGCCACAAGGTGCAAATCCTTCTACGAGGTAACTGCTCTGTCTTTGCGAGATATAGCATCAGAGTACTTCTCGGACGCGTGAAGGCGCGGGGACAACACAGTGATGCGCAATCCAGCTGGTCCCGGAATGATCCGCCTTGCAAGTCTCCCTGCAAACATGCAGCGCATACGGCGGAGCAAAAATGTCACAGAAGCTTGTCGCGCGAGCATTTTCTCGTCTATACAGAGCGTCTGCTTTGAGGGGCAAGTATCGCAAGTAGCTAGCACTCTGCTTGCATTCTCACGGGCAACATTTTGCGCATGTTTGCGCTTCAGGTGGGTGCGCCAGTGTTGCCCAAGCAGCCCCTTTGCGCCTGCTGCCTTCGACTTGGAAGGCCTGATTGCCGCAAAAATGACACATACATGCATGCATGCATACACTACCTTACCCTACATTACATTACATTGCATTACATTGCATTGCATTACGTTGCATTACGTTGCATTACACTACATACACATACATACATATACACATACCTACTTGAGTATCCATCCACAACCCAAATCAGTTTCTGTTGGTCAAGCCAGGCCTAATGTATCATAAGAGCATTACGCTCTTGAGGGGTCTGGAAGCAGTCAGGGGCTCAAGGATCGTTTTTTCTTAGAAAGGGTCAGGGTTCCAGCTGCCGCGACGAGCCCAGGTGCGCCTTCCCCCTCTTTTTGTCGCAGGTACGTTTTCACGCCTTGTCACTGGCATTCTTCGTTGGCTAAGGTGCCATTGACGGAATAAAATCGCATACGTATTTGGCACTGTATGCTGCCTTCCATGAGAGCCAAAAATTGTACGCAGGAAACAGCGGCTGGTTGTGTAGCCTTGAAATGAGAGAAAAGGGGAAGTGAAAAAGGGGTTGTTGGCTCAGCCCCATGCCGCGCAAAAATGAAAGGGGGTGGTTGGCTTAGCCCCGTGCCATGCAGAAGCAAAACATTAGCGGATGACAAAGTGCCACTAAAACAGGTACTTGTGCACCACATACATGGACGGTGCTCTCGGTCGCATTTCTTACCCAGTAGCGCCGTAGCCTCGAGGCACTTGTCCATGCGCTCAGCATCTACGGCTCGCGGGGTCTTATAGCCGCAGCCCTGTAGTTCTGGCTTTACATAACAGCCACCGCGGCTTGCAGCGCTTGCGTATGAAAGAGTTTGCAGTTCAAGTTGCTTTTCGAATTTAGTGATAGATCTGACATGGGAGGTATGTGGATAAAAAACAATTGGTTTTATCGGATCTATAAACATCAGGACCTGCAGTGAAACCTTGCAGGGATACCTTGCATGAAGCAAGTAGCGGACATGTTACATCAGCGCTGAAAGGATCCGGATGCACATGTCCGTCGGAGCGGCGATTTTCTTCGGATCTGGGGGTCCTTCGATGGAGACCTATCGCAATCGGAACAACCTTGACAGGGTGCATGCGCGGGCTACCCCGCCACAGGTAGAGCACTAAACGAGTGCAGGACCAGCCTGCAACTACTTGGAATACGCGTGTACCCATCCACAACCCAAATCAGTTTCTGTTGGTCAAGCCAGGCTTGATGTATCATAAGAGCACTACGCCCTTGAGGGGGTCTGGAACCAGTCAGGGGCTCAAGGATCGTTTTTTCTTAGATAGGGTGAGGGTTCCAGCTGCCACGACGGACCCAAAAATGTTTCATGACGGCCACCAGCTGCCGCGACGAGCCCAGGTGCGCCTTCCCCCTCTTTTTGTCGCAGGTACGTTTTCACGCCTTGTCACTGGCACTCTTCGTTGGCTGGGGTGCCAGTGACTGGCCCTCAGCCCCTTGCAACTTACATTGCATGAGCTCTTGGCAACGAAGCGTGACACACATGAGCGGACTATTCAGTCCAATGGGTGGCGGCTGCAATTCCTCTTTCTCCAGCCGTAGTGGAATTCATTCCAAGAATGTTCAGTGTGAAAAACAGGTACACAGGGATGATCCCCTGCTTCCCGTCAGAACGCATAGCTTTGTTAGGCACAGTTTGGAATCTGATGCCATGCCCCCTGCTTCCAACATCATGCCTTTGCACTGCGGCATGCACTGACATGAACAAATAGCTAACCAATGGTAATACACGCTCTTTGGAACAAAGTTTGACACACACGCCCCCTTCCGATGACGCAGCGGAACGATTGCATATGCTGCAATATTTGCAAAATTATGACACTGAAGCATGATGCAAATAAGGGAAGTATTCAAGCACTTGATCACACAAAGCAAACCAAACCAGCATGAGTTGGCGATGCCTTAGTCGACCTCGGTCACGCGGGACATGTATTCTTAATGACAAAAAGCGGCGCAGCGAGAAAGGAAAAGGTTGAGAAATTCATTGCGTTCAAATTCCCTTCACCGTGATCCAGAGATCCTGCACATGTAGCTACTGCAAGGACGTGGGACAGCCAAGGAGAATAATTTTAGGAAGAGACGTTATAACTCCGAAACTCACCTGAAATGAAGGATTGAAAAGGACAGAAGGGACGAGGAGATAAAGATGAACGTCACAAGAACTGGACGTGGCCAAAGGCGCGCGCACCCCGTCTTTGACAAGGCCTCAGTAAAATGAATATGGATGCAAGGAGAGGCAACAGGCCTGCTTCTGGCCGCGAATATGAAGGATTGGCATCAGCGAAAATAAGGCAAGGAAAATGAAGGGAGGATGACTTTAGTCGGCCAACAGCAAAGTTAGGTTGGGAATCTGTATGGTCTCCAGCTGCGTGACTTGAAGGCTACTCCGCTAGTGTTAGGCAGAGGGTCCCAACACGCTTGGAAACCTACCCCCAACCTTGCGCACTCACTTGACCTTCCAGACTGAAACACCTTGAAAACTTGCCCTCAACCTCACCAACAAGGACAACAGAAGCAAGGATTAAACTGGAATTGCAGTACTCGCTAGAGCCAGACGACGAGGTCTGCAAAATTAGTGTGGAGTTTCAACGCTAAATCAAGCGTCAAATCATCTTTCATTCTTGAGAATCAAGCAGGTACGTCATTGTTCAATTGGAAATTCTGCCCGTCGCTCGGAAATCAGTTGGAATCAAAAGCTTCAATTGAGTCATCGTGTATTCACATTGGTGAGGGCAACCCCCACTAAGGTTGCGGCCCGAGGGAAAGCCACACTGAGAGAGCAGGTACACATGGATGATCAGTCCCTGCATCCCATCATAATCCATAGCTTTGTTAGGCACAGTTTGGAATCTGATGCCATGCCCCCTTGCTTCCAACATCATGCCTTTGCACCGCGACATGCACTGACATGAACAGATAGCTAACCAATGGTAATACACGCTCTTGAGAGCAGAGTTTGGCACACAAACACACATATACACATACATGCATACATGCATACTTGCATACGTGCATACATGCATACATACATATACCACACACACATACACATTCACATTCACATTCACATACACATATACATACACATACACATATGCATACACATACACATATACATACACATACACATATACATACACATACACTTTTCTACACATATACATGTATACATATATACATGTATATGTGTATATGTATACGTATATACATATTTACATATATACATATATACATATATACGTATATACGTATATACATATATACATATAGACATATATACGTATATACATATATACATATAGACATACAGACATATAGACATATATACATAGAGACATAGAGACACAGAGACATATAAACATATAGACATACAGACATATAGACACATAGATATATAGACATATATACATATACATATGATATACACATATACATATATACATATAGACATATATACACATATACATATATACATAGATATTTACATAAACACATGCATATGCATATACATATACGTGTACATATACATATACATACATGCTTACATGCCTACATAGATACAACATAGAAAAGGGCACGGAGTTGCTGTATCGTTACTCGTTGGATCTCACGTCAGTCATTTCGGGCCGAACAGGTTCCCTCCACTTGGCACATGTTCGTTTGAAGACTTGGACTTGAGAGATGTCGCGATCAGTCTTTATATACGATTGCTTGGCAGACTTGTGCCGGGAATCCTACGAGTCTGCCGGCTGGGGGTTGTGCTTTGTTTGTTGCTTTCTGCCCTGTGGTCCACCAGTTCCCTGGTCCCCTAGCCTGTGGTCCGCTGATCCGCTGACTTTCTGGTCCTCCTGCCCCGTGGTCCTGTGGTCCGGGGTTCTTTGGTCCCTGTTCCTCTTCTCATCTTTGCTTCTCCGGCCCCAGTCGTCCGGCGGTCTTGTCATCCCGTGTCCTCCGGTCCTCCCGGTTAGCTGTTTTTTTTGGATTCTGGCGTTCCCCTGATCCTCGCTGATCCCTGGCGCTCCTCTCATCCCGTCCACTGCCGCGCGCCCCAACCCAGCTTTTCAAACATGAGTCCGTATTCAATGCTGAACTCCATGAACCAGTATCATGGCTAGTTGTGAGTCTGCAGCAACAACTGCCACATCCCTCAAAGGGGCTGCGCCTCACGAAGCCCTAAACCCCCACTCTTTTTTCTCGTGAACCGGTAGCATGTCTGATTGTTGGATGTGCCACAGGTTCATGATTGACAAAGAAGATGTTGATGAAGATTCACGACTAAATAGTGAATGGAATGGTATTTATTTTAGTTTTTTTTTTTTTTTTTT